GTCAAAGGCGAGGCCACGGGCTCTTCACACGTGTGAACAGAGAGGAGCCGGAACCCCTCCCGTGACGGCCCCGAGCTGTCCCAGGCTCGGTCACGCGAGATTCTGGGTGAACGGTTGCAAATTTAAAGGAAACTAAAGTGACTTAGGGGAAATCTTTATGGGGATTATTTGCCCATCAAGATCAACTAATAAAAAGACTCTGTGTGTGTGTGTGTGTGTGTAATCTTTCCAAACTGGTTTGGAAGCAATCTCAAACATCGCTGAAGAAAGGTTAAGGTTTTTAACAGCAAAACCTGGCTTCTCAAACGAAGAGGAAGTGGCTGGGTTGCACATCAGGAGTAATGACGGGGAAAGCTAAGTTTCTAGCGCGTCTCTCCCGAAGAGTCAGGAGCCTCCACACGTGGGCCTTTGCCACACACTTGTGAGGCCAGACTCACCAAGGATCATCTGTCGGCTCGGCCCACTTCCCACCCAGCACCAGGAGCAAGGGAGAGGGAGTTAGATAGGAACATCAGTGATGAGAGTTATTGATCAGTGCTTCCTACAGGCCCCACACCAGGGCTGAGCCCGAAACTCAGGCATGTGGCCTGACTGGGAATCGAACCATGACCTCCCACCTCAGTGGTGGAAGCTCAACCACTGAGCCATGCTGACCGGGCAAAATACTGGGGTTTTACAAAATCTGTTTCTTCACTTATAAATGAAGGGAATGAAAAAAATTTCTTCAGGCCCTATCTCAGACAACTCACTTATCTCATTCAAGCCTTTAAGAGGTGAGTATTGCCCTGGCTGGTTTGGCTCAGTGGATAGAGCGTTGGCCTGTGGACTGAAAGGTCCCAGGTTCAATTCCGGTCAGGGGCATGTTCCTTGGTTGTGGGCACATCCCCAGTAGGAGGTGTGCAGGAGGCAGCTGATCGATGTTTCTCTCTCATCAGTGTTTCTAACTCTCTATCCCTCTCCTTTCTTCTCTGTGAAAAAAAAAAAAAAAGGCAATAAAATACATATAGTTTTTTAAAAAGAGGTGAGTATTACTATCCACATTTCACAGAGGAGGGTGCTGTGAGTTGAGCCACCCGCTAATGGTTACTCAGCTCTGAGTGTAGCTACTGGAATCAGATCCCGGCATGCCTGGCTGTACCTAATGTTTCCTACCAACCGCTCTCCGCTCCCTCCCACCTCACCTATGGCCTCACCAAGCCCTGAAATTCCAGGTTCTATCTGTTTCCAAGATGCCTGCCGCTCTGAGTTCTGCTGAGGGGCCATGAAGATGGTGTACAGTTTTCCTTTGTACGTGGCCTGATGGGGTTGGACTCACTGCCCCAGCTCATTTCCGCGGCCCTGGAGGGGCACCAGCCTCACCTGCCCCCCCTCCTGCCTCGCTGGCCAGGTCTAAGCAGGCCCATCTGCCGGGATTGGCATCAGAATGTCCCTCCGAGGTGGGGAGCCGTGAGGTCCAGGAAGCAAGCACATTCAGGTGGAAAACGAGAGAGCAGCTAGCCCGTTCCGCGTGGGATGGATCAGATGACGGCCTGTGGACCAGGGGACCCGCCGCTCCCGTGTCGCCTGGGGCAGCCCCTGGGCCTCAGGGATGGTTTCACCTCAGAAAGGTCCCCAGTGAAGGGGAAGGAGACACGAAGCCCTCCGAGCACAGCGAGAAGGGGGAGACCGTGGTTCATCCTCTTCACGCACGTGGGGGACTATCCTGGCACTGCGTGCATGTGATGCTGGCGCTATCATCAGCCTGTCCTTTGCAAATCACATATTGAATGGCGACAGAAAGATTAATGGCATGTGCGTGCCATGGGACAGCCCATGCTTCTTCTCAGGAGGTGAGACAGGTCGACCCAGAACAAGACCTGCACTCTGTGTGTGACTGCCCCAGCAAGACACGCTTAAAAGCCCTTCAGCAGAGGAAGGCGGGGGACCGGGCCCCCACGGGCAGCCTGAGCTGGGTTCACGGGACATCACAGCATCTGTCCCCGGGCTTTAGGAAAGAGTAAAACCGAGCCGCCTGCAGAGAACCCAGGAAAAGGATTCGGTGGGATCGTGTTGTGATTCTATTTCCTGCTGGCCAGGAGTCCAGCAGGAGGGGGCGGAAGAGAGTCCGAATCCAGCCCTTTCATCCATCCTTTCACCCATCGTTTCCCAGGTAACAGATAAAGGCAGGACAGGGCAGATGGAGGGATGAACGGAAAGGCATTTAACCGGCAGGAGGATCTTCCAGGGGCTAGCTGCAGGGCCTGCCCCTCACGTGGTGTGGTACCCACGTCCTTACTGACATCACCCCACGTTCCTCCCCGGAGCGCACAGGGGCCCAGTAAATACCACGCGGGAGACGTGTGCTGCCCGCCTTTCGGGAGGGACGGGAGGATGGTTTCCTGGGTGTGGTGACTGCAGGAAGAAGGGGGAGGAGAAGCCTAGGAGACCCCAGCAAGCAGAGCTGAGTCCCCTCGGGCCTCCGGGTCAGAATGCAGACGGCAGGGCTCCCTCGGTCTCCGAGACAAGCGCTCACCCGGGAAGCAGGTGCCCGCTTGGCCAGGCACCTCCTGGGAGGGGGCTGCGCTGCCTGGGAGCCCGTGGCTGAGCACATTTGTCTAGAGCTGCGTAAACACGGAGTCCCTGCGGGACGCGAATTGTGCAAGAGACAGATGAAGAGCAATCCGCCCTGTGTCAGCCAAGGAAACAGCCAAGAATGAGAGGAGGATTCAGGGCAGCCATTTCCCTTTACCCGCAAGATTGCTGTTTCCAGTTTGACATTTCCTTTCCCCTACCCGCCTCTCCTGTGCCGCATTCATTTTGGAACGATTGTGCTGCTGTTCTTTCTCCATGAGGTTGGCAGGTAGCAACCTGTACCCCAGAAAGGCAGATGCCTGGAGTCAGAGACCCCCCAGGACCATCCGCCAAAGACGGAAGGAAATGCATATCAAAGAGACGCTCTCTGACCTCCACTGAGGTCTGTGAACTTAGTCTGAAGTGTCAGGAGCTTCCTCTACCATCCGGCTGCTAAGCAGAGGGCGGGAGGGGGAGGAGAGGAGGGCGGAGGAAGGCTGCTTCAGAGAGGAGCTTAGGGGTGGGGATGGAGATAGGAGGATCGCCCACTCATTTGCTTCTGAGCTTCTTCATTAGGAGGCAGGCGGTATACGGCACCACCACACTCCTGCACCGATGAGGTAGTTAGCATAAGCCTTGAACATGTGCCACTGGTAGTAAGATCTCTCTAAAAAGAGAATCTTGTTGTAAAAAACAAGACTGAAAGCAAGCTCACAATAAGCCTTCAGCTCAAGCGGATGCTCTATGCTGAGTGTTACATGCCAGTTTCCAGAAAATCGCCCCCCAACTCCAGGTGACCACTAGCCTGCTTCCTGTCCCCATGGATTTCCTTACTCTGGGTATTTCCTCTACATGGGAGCAGACAGCCTGGGGCCTTTTGTGATGGCTTCTCCTGCTTCGCAGGTTTTCAAGAGTGGCCACGTTGCACCCTATGCAGACTTTCTAACATGTCATCGTCTGTATATATATACATTTATGGACACTTGGGTTGTTCCCATCTGGCTGTTGTGAACAGAGCGCTCTGAACATGGGTGCACGTGGATTTGAGTCCTCCCACCCGTTCTTCATACAAAAATCTGACCCAATCACGTGATGCGCCAGCCGCAATCACTTCAAACTCCTGAATGTGACCCTCGACCCCTCCACGCCGGCCCCTCCCCACTCTCCAGCATCACCGCACACCTGCGCCCCTGTCCACCTGGCCTTGTGTTTCCTGCCGGTCCTGTGCTTTGAGTCGTCGCCGCTGAGCCTCCGCAGAGGCTGTTCCCTCTTCCCGGCACACCCTTCCCCTGGGTGAGGGGCAGCTTATCTCCCAAATCCAACTCCCTGCACCAGCTCCCAGCCCAGAGCCAAGGCCGGCCCCTCGGGTTCTATAGACAGAGAGGCACTCAGAGCTCGCTGGGGGGTGAGGAAGGCTGCGCCGGCCCTGGCTGGGAAATCCCGCAGGACCTGCCCAGGGACCACGTGGGGGCCTCTCCAATGGACATCCTGTGTCTCTGAACCACGCCCTGCTGGGAAGTTTGAGAACGTGGATTCAGGGCCCTGGTGTCTGCCCGAGTGACGTGACAAGCCCAGGACCAGTCGGTCACCTTCCCAGCTGCTCTGTACACATGCTCCACCCAGCACTGTGGGCTGGCTATGAGGCAATCGTTGATTTTCCCGTCACAACTGGTCAACACCCATAGGCCTGAGTGCAGCGAGGTGGCTCCGCAGATGCCTCTAGCTCCAGGGGAGCATGGCCCAGCCCCGAGGCAGAGGCTGGTGGCCGCTGAGACAGCAGGAAGCTCACAGAGGGCGGGGTGGGGATGGGGGGGGGGGGGGGGGAGGAGATGGGGCCGTAACCCAGTCACACCTGAACCCACAGGCTTCAGCTCAGCCCTGGCCTCGGGGCGCCTGGGCCACACAGGATGTGCACTTCTCGGGGCGGGGAAGTCACCTTCCATCCCCCTTCCTTTTCTCAGCTTCAGTTCTCAGCCTCTGCTCCCTGAGTGTGTGCACGCTTATATGCACATACGTACTATAAGAGCACACACATCATGCACGCTCCCCAGGTGTATACACGTGACACTCCCACACATGCACATGCAAAAGCACACGAGTATATACACCTATACACTCGTATACACACGTAGACACGTGGTTCTAACATGCTCATTTCTTCTGATTTCTAAAAATAGTCTAATAGAACCCTCCCTTCCACACCCTCGTCATTCCTAACAGCCCCTTGATCATTATTTCCTTCCCTTTACATTCTCCATCGCTCCCAGGTCCACATGCACATTTAGCAGAAACGACCTGTGAAGACAGTCAACACGTTCCTTCCCTAAGAGGCTGGTCCTCTACAACCTCCTCTCCTCCACCCGTGAGGAAAATGGAAATCCAGACTCCCCCGCGGGCACGAGGGCCTCGGAGGGGAACGCCGCTTTGCGGGCAGCTCGCCCGCCGCTCACCTCCAGGACTTTGCCGGTGATGAACTGGTGGCAGGCTTCACACTGCACCCCAAAGAGGCCCTGGTAGTCCTTCTCGCAGTACGGAGCGCCATCCCTGCGGGACGAGAGGGTGTCAGCGCCCGAGAGGGTGTCAACCCCAACCACGCGACTCTGGGGCCTGGGCAGACGGCGGCAGACTGTTTCTCTCCTGCCCAGCGGTCATGTGCCTGGAGCCCAGACATGAGCAGGACCCAGGAAGCCAAGCGATCCAGAGACAGACAGAGCTGTGGTCCCGCAGGCCACACAGAAACCACGGCCACGTCGCCGAGTGCTCCCGGTGCCCGGCCCTCGAGGGCCTCAGGCTCACTGGTTGAGCCCTGGCATCATTCTCGGCCCCCACTGGCCACATGGGCTCAGGTGTGGTCTCAGCGCTCCCCGCTCTGACCTGCCTCCTGACCCCGCTGCTCGTGCTCACACACAGCCTCCGCCTCCAGGAGGCCCTCGGGGCCCGGGCTTTCTCGTCCTCAGCGCACAGTGGAGGTGGCACTGCATGGCCTGTGGCAGAGTTCAAAGGCATTGCTGTGGACGGCCCGTGGCCCATGACTTCGCAGCCCTCGGTGTGCATTTAAGAGCTGAGCGTCTTCCTCTTCTCACTTCAGCTCTGAGTCCCCTCTGGGGGTTCCCACGGGCCAGCCCAGACCTACAGGGGTAGGTTTTCAGAAGTGGGGGCACAGACTACTTTTTGTTTGTTTTGCTATATTCTTAAGTTAAATTCACTTGATGTTTTTGAATAGCTGATATACTCGACCAGTTGGAAGACATTTTCTAAAGCATAAAAAAGTATATAAGGGAAATTTCCCCTTTCTGCCACTGTCTTCCCCAACCCCAAGCCCCATCTTCCTTCCTTAACGCAAAAGGTGACCACTGTAGCTGTAACTAGTTTCTCGGGCTGCATAAAAACCAAACCAACAGAAACCCGGGTTCATCTGCTGTAGCCGTTAGCCACACCAGCCTGACTGCACAAACCAGTTCCCTGAGGAGCTATTGTGTGCATTGGTCCTAATGGGCTTAGTGCCTGTGTGGCTTTTGGGGGGAAGGTGGGGCGTCTACAAATACATTCAAGACCTGGAAGGAGCACAAAGGTTTGTTAGTGCCAAATTAGGGGGGGTGGGGGGGGAGGGGGAGTGTCCTAGTGAAGGTAAATGACTGAATGCTCATTGGTCACAACATATACATGAGCTTCTTTCATTGCTAAATCAGGCAATGCTCGACATCTCAGTACATTTATAGAAGGCAAACTATGGCAAATGCAGAGGAGTAAAATTCCTTGCTCCAGTTTTACAGCCAAAAGTCCCTGAGGATTGTGGGGTGTGAGTGTCTGTCATTATGGCCTGTGGGTCAGGGTGGGGACTCTGGAACAGGAGTGAGAGGGCCCCCCAGGCCCAGCCTCACTTACTTGCTGATGTACTCGCCGGTGAGGACCTTCCCGCAGGCCTTGCATTTAAAGCAGCCCAAGTGCCACTGCTTTTCCAGCGCCAGCAGCGCCTGCCCGTTCTTGATGTCCCTTCCGCAGCCGGCGCAGTCTGGAAGGAAGAGCAGTCAGATGTTACCCTGTGCAGCCAGAGGTGCTACCCGCCAGCACCTGGGCCAGCTCTGAGCCCGTGTGTCCCCAGCACACACTCAATAAATATTTGCTCAAGCACCGGTTCGCTCTGTGCTCGCCCTGCACAGTCTGTCTCACAGGCCCTCATGCAATGTGGACGCTCCATGAAGCACAGAGGATCCGGGGATGGAAGTCCTCCATCCTGTGTTTCCTCTGAGCTCCTGCTGGCCCATTGACGACTGAACTGCAGGGTCCAGGCTGTGACTCGGCCTTTAGTCACTGAGGGTGTGTGGGAACCGCAGAGCCCCTCGGCTGGGTGCCCGCCTGGCACCATCACGTGGTCCCCAGAATGCCGCTCGGAAGTCTCACTTCTGTAAACAGGACTCTGCTGCCTTGTCAGCCTAAACCAGACCCTCCGTGCTCTGTCATCATCAATTAAACGGCTCTTAATTCCTCAGCTTTCAATTCTCCTGGGCAGACTCCATGAAGCAGATTACGGAGAGTTTCTTCATGGTGAAGAGCGTGGGCCCCAGAATGAGCCGGTTCTGCGCCCAGCTCCATGCCTGTTGGCTAGTTCCCTGATCCGGGTTGGTTCTCCGCTTTCTTTTTAAAAAATATGTTTTTATTGATTTCGGAGTGGGAGAGGGATAGGAAAATCAGTGAAGGGAGAGAATCATTGATCAGCTGCCTTCTGCATGCCCACCCTGGAGATCGAGCCTACATCTGGGAATCTGCCCTGACCGGGTATCGAACCGTGACCTCCTGGTTCATAGGCTGACGCCTAACCACTGAGCAACACCAGTCGGGCTCTTAGGCTTTCTAAGCCTCAGTTTGCTCTGGCGGAAGCTGGGAGTAGTTAGTGCTTTGCTCCAGCCTCCGAGGAGGAGTCCTCCGGTGATGGATTCAGCACGGTGGTAGGCATGCAGGAAGTGGCTCTCTAAACATTTGCTATTAGTATAATTTCCATGATTATTCTGGTTATTAAATCATCTTCAGAGAAGTTGAGCCTTTAAAAGAACCCAGAAGAATGTAAATTGGTGCATTCTTTTTAGAAGCAACTTAAACATCTCCAGATATTTAAAAGCACTGTGCCCAGGAAGGGACAGGAAGCGCTGTGGGCAGGCTGGCCAAGATGCTCCCACAAGCGCAGGGACAGCACCCGCAACAAAGCAATGTCCAGGCCAGGCTGCGGGTTAACAAATGGTTAAACACCCCCCTCTCGCGACCACATCCTCAGTGGCTGCTCATGTACTGAGGACACTCCTAACCACCTCAATGCTCTCCTCCCAGGAAAAGATGCCAAGTCACTGACCTGCTCCTGCTTTGTGTCTTCCTCCCTCCTCCCTCCATTCCTCTCTTCCTCCCTCCATCCCTCCCTCTCTTTCCCCCCTCCCCCCCCTCCCCTCCTTTTTTTTTTTTCTTTTTTTTTTTTTTTTTTAAGCAAAATAAGTTAATTTATTAATAAACTTAACAAAATTTTTTTTTCTTTTTCTACAGGTGTGTAGAATTTCTAGTGATCTCTGGTCAGTGGGTAACAATGTGCCTTTAAACCCAGCAATTTCATGTCTAAGATTTCGTTTTACAAGTAAATTTGCAAAAGTGTATATATGTGTTCCCTGAAGAATACATAGGCATTCCCCAAAGTATTTTTGTAATAACAAAACTGAAAATAGCCTAAATGCTCAATGGATAGAGCGTTGGCTTGGGGACTGAAAGGTCCCGGGTTTGATTCTGGTCAAGGGCATGTACCTTGGTTGCGGGCATATCCCCAGTGGGGGGTGTGCAAGAGGCAGCTGGTCGATGATAACTCTCTCTCTCATCGATGTTTCTAGCTCTCTATCTCTCTCCCTTCCTCTCTGTACAAAATCAATAAAATATATTATAAAAAAAAGAAAATAGCCTAAATGGACATTAATGAGGGACCAGGAAATTCATTTTAATACAGTCAATAATGGAATACTGTTTGCTGTAAAGAAAAATGAGGTAGATTTGTTGTGGGCATGGAAAGATGTCCAAAACTGAATAGATAAACGAAGCAAGCTGTAGAACAGTATGCACAGCATTAGCTCATTAATAGAAAAATAGTTTTTAAAAAAGTATGTGTATATTTGCACACATGCTTGTATATGAACAGAACACTTCTTTAAAAAAATACACATAAGAAATCTTAAGACACTTCCCTCAGTGGTGGAGGACTTTATTTTTTATGTCACAACCTCTATGTTTTTTAATTTTTTGCCATGAGAATGTAAAAAAAAAAAGAGAGTAAGTAAATATTTCTAAAATTAAAAACATATCTGCTATATGTTTAAATATTTCATATTAGAATCTCTTTACATATAGCTTATTATAAATTGTATCATATGGACACAAAGCATTACATATTTTTTATTTTTATTTATTTATTTACTATTTTTTTATTAAATTATTATCTTTACACATTTTTTTAAAAGCTGGGGTTTTTATTATCCCAGCATCTCACCAAAAAAATCTTATAAAGGAAATCTCACATTTAGTGGTTTATTATAAAGATAAAAACAGAAGACTATAATGTGTACTCATAAATACTGTTTTTAAAAGTTAGGAACATAGTATGTACCTCAGAAGAACTGGTAGTTTTTTAATGTAAGTTGAATCAAATTTTCCATGATTCTGGTTAGATCATTCCCACTAGGTGGCAGTAAAGATTTAAAATAATAAGGAAGGCTCTATTTTTAAGTAGAAAAGAAACTTTAGAGATGGCTTTTCTATTCTACAGCTGAGGACAGTGGGGCTGAGAGTTTACCTACAGAGCTGTTCGAGGTCTCCCCTGCACAGAGCTGAGGGCTAGGCGATGGAAGATGCGGATGGTAAGAACATGGGCTGTGGAATTAGGGAGATTTGGACGCCAACCTGGTCAGTAGGTAATGATGTGCCTGGGGAAACTACTGTCTCTGAACTCTCACTTCTTCTTCAGCTGGGAAATGCTGACCTACTTCCTAGATTGCTCTGAAGGGAGAGACCCTGCCTGGTAAAGTGCTTTGTGTCACGCTCAGAAAGCTTGGCACAGGTTGGGCATTCTATGTGGTTCCCCTTTTCATAATAGGGGCAGACCTGGGGCTAAAAGCTAGGTTTCTTTTATATATATATAATTAATTTTTTACAGAGAGGAAGGAAGAGGGATAGAGAATCAGAAACATCGATCAGAGAGAAACATCAATCAGCTGCCTCCTGCATACCCCCCACTGGGGATGTGCCCGCAACCAAGGTACATGCCCTTGACTGGAATCGAACCTGGGACCCTTCAGTCTGCAGGCCGACGCTCTATCCACTGAGCCAAATTGGACAGGGCAAAAGCCAGGTTTCTTGACTCTAAGTCTTGCTGCCCTTACAAGCACACTAACACCCAGATGTCTCAAAGCTCTGAGCCCACCTGAGAGCAACAACAACCTCCCTGAGCATCCTGCACTGAGGGCTGCCGGTGAACCAGCACTGTGTGAGGGCTGTGTGCCATGTACACATCACAGTCCTCTAGTCCCAGTGCCTGGCAGTCTGGAAGCTTCCGGCTCACAGGGGCTGGGCTGTGCTCTCAGATCCTCCTCGCCCTGCAGAGTCCCACGGAGGGCAGGCGTTCTGTGGCTGATTTTCAGAATGGCTTACAGAGAAGTAGTCACTGGATGCTGAATGCCTACAGCCAGGCAGCTGGGAAGAAGGCCGGGCTGGAAGAAGAGGCTGAGATGAGCCTCTGCACCCAAAACCTTAGACAGAAATCAAGCAAATCAGCCAAGACCACCTCCTACGAAGGAGAATCTGGCCATCCCGGCTGATGCTAAGGATTCTGGGTTCCTCAGGTGCTGCCCGTGCATGTCTCTCTGGACCAAATCAGCCATCTTCTCCACGTAAGCCTGATGTCATGGGGGGAGGGGGAGGAGATGCAGGGGCAAGATTCATGCTGGACTGTTCACCCCTCCGCGCGTTCCAACCAGGCTTCTTTGTAAGAACAACACGTCCTGCTCTCTATCCGCATGCTTTTCAGCTGTTGAGAAAATTGTTTCCACATCACTGAAGCAGCTGCCGATAAATATAGAAAGCCGGTGATTGGCGCGGGAATGGTGGCTCACGCCAGGAATAGGTGAGTATGGGGCAGCGTCAGGGAAACCAAACCCTCTAGCCACTCGCCGGTAGGTATCCTCGAATCATCACCACCAGATGTGAGCAAAGAGAAACCCAGCCGCAGCCTTAGACACACAGTCACTGTCAGCCCTTCATTCTCGACACCAGGAGCCAAGAGGAGAGCTGCTCGCGGCCAAGTTAAACCAGCATCCGAGCCCGCACCTGGCTCTGTGTTCCTATTGTTTTGTTCAAAAGTGATAAATTGATCATAGGGATCCTGCCAGTCTCCTGGCTCCTTTAACATCGCTTTTGTTTGTTTGTTTGGTTTTACATAGGGCCGTGGACACCTGGGCTGCAAAGGTATTTATCTGTTTATTTATTTATTTTTTAAAATATGTTTTATTGACTTTTTTATAGAGAGGAAAAGAGAGGGATAGAGAGTTAGAAACATCGATGAGAGAGAACCATCCATCAGCTGCCTCTTGCACACCCCCCACCGGGGATGTGCCCGCAACCAAGGTACATGCCCTTGACCGGAATCGAACCTGAGACCCTTCAGTCCGCAGGTCGATGCTCTATCCACTGAGCCAAACTGGCTTTGGCTGCAAAGATATTTAAATTGAAGGGCATGACAACCAATCTCAGGCTGGAAGCTGCCATCAGCTGGGCAGCACTTACGCCTGAATAAATACCTGTGTCCTGTCGGCCTCCTAGACTTTCCCTTTGGGGCAGAGTGAGGCCCAGAGGGGCGTCTGGTTCTATGCAGCTGCCCTCTGTGGAGAAGGAGGACACGGAGCTCTAGAAAAGGGGATGGCGTGGTTACCGTGGTTACCTACTCATCCCACCTGCCCGGGCCCCAGTGCTGCTGTCACACCTAGTAGTTCCGAA